TTCACTAGAGCTAGCTTTTCGGCTAGCAGCTCAAGCTCAACTCCGATTTACTTCACTAAAAGTAGCTGTAATAAACACGTATGTATCGTTAGCTGGCTAGCGAAGAAGCTAACCAAGATAAATAAAGTCCTACCATCGTTGAAAGCGGGTATGTAGAAGGCGTGTAGAATCCACAACGAAATAAATCTCCAAAATCAGCGACAGCGAGCTGGCTAGCGGGTCTGACCGAGAGAAGACCCGACAGTCCGGGTTAGCGAGCGAGCGAGCGAGCTAGCAGCAGCTCGGGCAGCAGTTAAATGGCTTAGAACAGTTGCAGCCGCTCGCTAAGCAATGCAACTTGTTGGAAAACGCAGGACGTATTTGATCCCCAGGAAGCTGCGCGGGGTCTTTCTTCGCCCAGACCATCTTCTCGGAGACCTTTGGTGTCCGCAGTTGTCGACTCCCCTAACATTATGTTGAATTCGGGACCATTTTGCGGGTTTTCTCGCTCGAGAGGAAACTGCAGCAGCGTCTCGGCAAGTAAACAAGGTCGGCAAACGGGAACCACACCGCTGCGGAGTGACGGACGGGGGCGGGGCGTACGGAAGCCGGGGGGGTTCCTGAGTAGCTTAGCAGAAGGAAGGAGCCCGACACTCCGGGATGTTTTAGGCTTTTTCTGTGTTTTCCCCTGGCTCTTGAAAACTCCCCCGTGTTTGAGTTTGCATCTCCAATCAATGGAGACTTTAAAGTTAATTATCTTGTTTTCTTGTGAAAGATAACAGTAACAGCGTTAGCCGCAGACCAAGGTCACATGTTCGGTACGGTTAGCTAGCTGTGGCTAACACGTGAAGTTGCTCTGTAGGTCGAATTTTCCTCACGCAATGGCTGGACTGATTAATTTTGAGGACGAAAAGGAGGTGAAGCAGTTTTTAGACAACCTGGGAGTGGAGTACAGCTATCAGTGCTACCGAGAGAAAGACCCTGAAGGTGCAGTATGTGCAGTGTGCTGAGCGCTGTCCTGATTCCACAGTGCTGACCGCTGCAGTGTCGGTGCCGTGTAGCCAAATCATTCTCAATTAAAAATACTGTTATTTCAAAACACTGAGTGACTCAAGTGGATACGTGACTACCAAAAGGAAAAGGTTACATATGCAATGGAACTTCTTAGACATCCAGCATGCTGAAAAACCTGATATTTTTTGGGTGCTCTTCTTCTTTTTTTAATAGTTTTGGTCTAAAGTAATGCTAATGCTTGTAAGGTGAGCAACAGCAAAGCAGTGGTGAACCAAAAAAACCCAAAATGAAATTAGACCAAACATGAATAAGGGCTTAGAAGAGTATCATCCATTGAAAGTACTCAGAAGTACAAGTCCATTAAAATAATCAAAATTGTGCTGAAATACATGTATATAGGTGACTTACTATCCACTTACTTACTATCTTACTTTCCACTTACTTACTATCTACTTAACGCATAGTTGCTTTGGCTCTTGTTTATTAGGCTGTCAGAGACTGGCAGATTACTTGGAGGGTGTGAAGAAAAACTACGAGTCCACAGCTCAGGTTCTCAAGCACAACTGTGAGGTGAATGGTCACGGTGAAAGCTGCTACAAGCTTGGAGCTTACCATGTCACAGGAAAAGGTAAAGCCAGCGCTTCTTTAAAGGCAATGTCATTAGATATGCACCATACTTTATGAAGTTCAGTTAAAAGATTACTCAATGATGCAAATGTTACATCAGGAAGGGTGTTTTCCTGAACACTTGAAGGTCATTTCTCAGTCATGTCTTGTCAGGCTTTTTACATGAAGCACAATAAAGGGCAGCCAATCAAAACACATTTATTTAAATAAGCAACACATGCGGCTTTATTAATTCTAACAGATAAAGTGAAGTTGAAAATGAATTACAATTGTTTGTTGATATGTAAAACCACACAAACAAGACTTCAGGGTAATAATATTTAAAAATACAACTTATTTAAAAATAACAAAGGGGAAAAATGTAGGATGTGGGCATCTTTAAGTCAGTCCTGTGTGCATTGTATCCATTACTGCCCGCTGCTAACACAATGCATTTTCATCCTCTCTTTGTCATACAAGGTGGAGTGACAGAGTGTCTGAAAACAGCTTACTCCTGTTTTATGAAGGCATGTCACGCCGAAGGGAAGAAGTCAGTGGACGCTTGCCACAATGTAGGCCTGCTCGCCCATGATGGTCGAGCCTTGGAAGGGGGTCCAGACCCGGTGGCTGCTCGTCAGTACTATGAGAAGGCTTGTGATGGGGGTTTTGCCCCAAGCTGCTTCAACCTGAGCGCCCTCTACATCCAAGGCTCAGCAGGGGTGGAGAAAAATATGTCTCTGGCTCTGAAGTATGCCATGCGGGCCTGTGAGCTGGGCCACGTCTGGGGCTGCTCCAACGCCAGCCGCATGTACAAACTAGGCGATGGCACAGAGAAGGATGACGAGAAGGCGGAGAAGTTGAAGAACAGAGCGAGAGAACTCCACGGACAACAGAAAGAGCGGCAGCTAAAATTCGGAGAGTGAAGGACAGAGAGCTGGACTTACTGTGATATTTGTGTGTCCTCTGATGGGCTATACATTTTAAAGGATATAGGGAACAAAAGGTGTGAGAAATTTGTGTATCATCTATGTATCAGTGCTTGTGTATACTGTGCCATTGCATTGATGTTATGCATTTTCCAAATTTAAGATCTTTTTATCAACCAGTGGATTCAGGAATTTGAAAATGCACTGAACTTTAATTTATGACCTTTTGTGTGAAATAATTATGAATTTGACAATAGGACTAAAGTTAATAAATCTAAAATACAATATACAGAATATATGAACAATTTTTTGATAGTTTGTACAGCATGATTTTTTCACATTTACATCTAATCCATTATGTGTTTAAATGACAGTTCATGTGGGGTGGCTTAAGGTACTCACAGTCACAGCCAATACATTTAATCCCATTACCTCATATAGAAATGTCCCATGACATGGGTTTGTTTCCTGATGTATCCTGATCCTGCAGGTCATATTCTGTGCTGTGATTCTGTGTTTGTTCTCTACTACCTTAACCAGGAGATACTTTCACAATGTGCCATTGCATCATTCGTAAAAATCCAGAGTGGAAATGATGTTTTTTCCAAATTCTGTTGCCTGGAAATCTATCAAAAACAAACCCGGTGTATTCAGATCAGACACTTTAAGAAACTCTACATCACTGTTTCCCAACCTGGTACTCAGGGGTTTCAGTCGAAGCTGCTGGTACCAGCGGCTGATCAATATCAGTGACTGACGGGATCCAAAAGCATTGGGTGCACCCACTGATGTCGAGTACACCTCATTCACTGATTGTTACACTGATAGCCATTATTTAACCATTGACACATGTTTATTGATCAGAAAGAAGCTGGTTCCTGAAATGTCCAAAAGTTTGTAGACACTTGATCATCCAGTGTTTAGTCTGAAACAGGCTCATTACATTACAGTAGCTTACTTTAGGAGGAAATTGAATAAAATGTATTTATCACTGAGGGCTTAAGCTGTGGGCAGCATAACCTGATGTCTTATAATACTGGATTCTGTCCTACCAGATTGAGTTACAAACAGTAAACAGCATTTATAGAGTGCTACAGAAATCATTACACCCCTGGGATGGCACCAAAAGTTTGCTAGAATAATAAAAAAAAACCTGCACGTTTAAAATGATCCACATTAAACAGGTTGAAACATTCAGTTTTCTTTTAAATCTATTCACACATCAGATTAGTCAGCCTGTGCCTACTAATCCAGCTGTAAGTATCCAAAAGGCGTCATCATTAGACATGCCTTAAATCTGGTGGACAGTGATATCTATGTGTCAAAGACAAAATAAATGATTGTTTTGATCATTTTTGTGACATGTGCTGTGACTGATGCCCTCTGAGTGAGCTGATTCCCTCTAGTCGGCCTTAGCTGAGGAGCTAATGTAGGGCCAGTTTGGATTTTCGGTAAAGAATGAACGTCACATTGCCAGGTTTATTACAACCTATTTTGTCTGGTCCAATAAAACTCATTAAACTGCATCTGTAAATAAAATGCAAGGTGTATAACTTGGAATAAAGAACATCCCTAAGCCTGACCTTAATTATAGACCTTGAAACCAGCAAACCCCAAGCCTAGGGGTGGTCGACATGGCAAGATGTCACATCGTGATACTACAGGTTTTTTATGTGTAATTCAATATGTAATTTTTTTTCTGATGCCTGATAAGTTAGAATAGACAAAGTAAGCCCACATTTTAAAACTACTGCTAAAGTTCAATTATTTGTAGCCAACATTTGACACACTGTGCTGCACTAAATCCAATTGAACAGGACTAATTATGCTCTTTGTAATGAAACAGGCAGTTTGTAAGTGTTTTATGTACTGAAGATATCTACGATATGCTCAGAAAAGCATCTTGTGGCAAATTGTGATGTAATTTATCACGATATCGATAAATATTGTCTTAATGTCATATTGTCCAGCTCTCCTCGAGCCTCATTTAGGCCATTATGTAGTTTCTCCCAGCGCGGTCCACCAGAGGGAGCCCAACTCCAACAAAACGGCGCTCAAATACACCATTTGGGAAATAACTGCAAGGACGAAACGAGTGACCCCAATTTGCCACTAACGTTAAAGAAATAAATCAATCAAAAAAGAAATCAATAAAGAGAACTCTTTGATCGATTTAGGATCACCAGCGTTTTTCCTCTCCTCGGGTTCTCGTTTCCCGTTTCGGTTACAAGCTTCCACGACAAATGGCTGAATTTCAGCCTCTATCAGTGTGTAACTTCGCTGTCCACACGGTTTTTAACAGTCCAGCTTTAACACGCTGTCCCCGGTGGAACTGTTTTGGAGCGGCCCCCGCACAGGCGGCCAACCGTCACCTCTGATAAGGATGCAGAAGCTCCCACCGACTGCAGGCTGCTGCTGCTGCTGCCGGAGCTCCGCCCAGCACCAGCCCTCCCGCCGGTCAAACCCACACACAAACACACGCACACACTTACACACATCGCCACGCTCGGATACACTTGTCTGGTGGGGACGTAGGAGTTCTTTTTGAAGACTAAACCTGCAGAACCGAGCGAAACTAACAACGGTTCACAGGAGGATACGAACCCCGGAGCTTCGGGAGGTCAGTTTGAGTTTGTTTACGTTTGTATTTGGGCAGCTGCTGCATGGTAACGGGAGTCCTGAGCCGCGCTAGCTAACAGCTAACCGAGCTAACGAACCGCTCTCTGGGGTAATTTAAATCCGGTGTGCACAGCCAGCCTCGCTGAGCCTGCGAGATTAACCCGCGTTGCGAGGCACATTCAGTTTATGATGAGAAAATATTAGAGCTCATAACGGGTTTCCGTTGGAATGAGTAGCGTTATGTCGCTGTTGGTTGTTCTAACGTAACGTATACTTTGTTTTTAGCTAGCCGGCTAGCCGAGTTCAGTTCACTTTGGTCAGTCATGATGCAGAATTGATCTCGTTAGTCAGTGCGCGGCGCGTGTGCTGCTGCTGGCTAACGGTTAGTCCGTTATGTTTGTGTTTGTGTGCTGTAGTGCTAGCGTTACTTCTCGTCTGTAGCTACACGCTTGGGCTCATCATTTGCAGTATATATTTCGCCTGTCCTTCCCTTTTACTTGTTGATGTTAGTATTCAGTCGTGGGAGATGATGTGCTTCAGTGTCCCTGAGCAAACCAGACTCGCCTCGGGGTGTGTCGTTGGTGAGGTTCCCTCCACACACAACACGGAGACTTCACACACCCAGCTCATGTAAACCGAATGGTGCACTGGATAAGCTAGCTTTGCTAACTTTAAGCGAAGGGACGATTATATGTCCTGTTTTTAATTTTTAACATGCGTAGCAGTTCTTATTACTTATTTCAAACCACAAGCACTCGAGTTAGCGCTGCACACTTGAGTGAGAAGCTGCCTGGCTAGCGCTCGCCTAGCTTCGGGATAAGCGATCATTCAGACAGCGTTACTTCAGCGAGGGTAGTAATCATCCACCGTGAAATGGGAGGCCGATCACGCCCTCTTCAGCAGATCTGCCCGGCGTACAAGGAGGCACAGAGCAAACCTATGTGATACATTTTTTACGACGTGGTCAGATGGCACTTATATCGCCCTGCAGTGCCAAAGCCGGCTTCAGTGGGTTTCAATCGAAGCTGCAGGCACCGGGTATTAAAATCCTCCAGGCGCCTGATCAATATCAGTGACTGACAGGGCCCAAAAAGCATTGGGTGCTTCCACTGATGTCGAGTACACCTCGTTCACTGGTCGTTACACTGATAGCCTTTATTTAACGACTGATTCGTGTTTACTGATCAAAAAGAAGCTGGTCATTGATGTCCAAACGTTTGTAGACGTTTGATTATTCAGTGTTTCGTCTGAAATCCCCAGAGCATTAACCTAGTGAGGTCAGATACTGATGTTGGATGATTAGTTCTGAATCACAAACTCATCTCAGCTCAAACTCATCCCAAAGGTATTAGATGGAGCTCCATCACTCCAGAGAACACACTTCCACTGCTCCACAGCCCAGTGCTGGGGGAGCTTTATACCTCTCAAGCCAAGCCAATGTCCTTATACTAACAATGTTTTGCTATCCGGCGTCAACCAGTGGAGGATGGGTTCCCTTTCTGAGTCTTGGTTCCTCTCAAGGTTCCTTCTCCTGCTCTTAGGGAGTTTTTCCTTGCCACTGTCGCCACTGGCTTGCTCATGGGGGTTTGGACCCGGATTTCTGTCTTTAATGCTGATTTTTCTGTAAAGCTGCTTTGTGACAAGACCTGTTGTAAAAAGCGCTATACAAATAAACTTTCCTTGCTTTGGACATGGTGACCTTAGGACCATGTGTTGATGCACATGCTATTGGCAGTGCTTTTCTTTGGAGATTATACAAGCTGTGTGCGCACAATTGAACACCTTTATCAGCAGTGAGTGTGCTTTAAAGTAGCCGAATTCCCCAGTTAGACATTAGACGGGTGTCGGAATACTGTAGTACTATGTAGCCACAAGCAGATCAGGGATTCAGTGTCTTTGCCTTAAATGCAAAAAGATGTGTTAAGACAGTCGTAGCTGTCAGGCAGGGTTATTGGATTCTTTATAGTATGTCACCTGGTTTAACTAGGAAACATGTATTACTAAGTTAGTGCCTGTGATTATGTGCATTGCTGATGTATTGGCTGCCCATCTGACCCAGTCTAAACAACAGAGAGCTCTTTCTTTATCACTGACAGGGGCAGGGTCTAGGTCTGGTATTGACCACTGCTGTGGACTCTCAACACATGGCCTAAAGGCCATAGGTTCATTTTTTTTGACGGTTCGGTAGTGCATAGAAAATTGCGTGACAAACAAGCTGTGAATGTTAGTCTTGCTTTAGGTGCAGTAAAAATTGCTTTTGTAAAAGCTACCAACACCCATCAATGGTGCAACTGTAGTTTTTCCACTGTATAGCAACAGTGAAAGCTTAACAAACGTGTTTGGTTCACTGTATTTTGCCTTTGTGTCTGTTACTGTCCTGTGAAGATGAAATTATAGTCTGCACACTTGTACACAAATTACCTTGTACCTGTTCAGATAGGGTTTAATTAGCCAGGCTTTAGAGTGTGTTGAGGTGGTTGGATTGTTAGTACAGTGTGATAGAACAGCATGAAGCACAGCTGAACCCAAGAGCTTTATCCTACAGTAAGTTACCTTTCAGCGCTCATGCTCTTAGCTACACGTTTACCAAGCTCTGTCCAGCAGTCCAGCCCTAATGCACTGTTTATCTCCTGATACATTAACAAGGATTAATCAAATAGTGGAGGCTGTCAGGAGTTCCCACATGCAACTCTTTCTCCTGCCTGCATATACTAAAATGTTCAAATGCTCCCCATATTTGGCATACTTCTCATTTTACTGCACTATTGCTGAAAGTTTTCTTATAGTTTTTTATAGTGTTATAACAGTGCTTGGAAACAAACATTCAGGTGGACATCTGGAACTGCTCTAATCCCCCGCAATGATATTGGCCACTAACCAGGGCTATGTATTGGGCCTCAAACTGGCCATCTAAAATAGAGCTACACAAAAATTGTGTTCATTGCCAATAATTTAATGCATTTTGTTTAACACTGTGGCTGCTCCACTGAAATCAAACTAGTAATGACCAGCCCTACTCAGCAAACAAGTGCTGTTATGAATCACATGACCTGCCATTGAACGTTTGACTACACTTAACTGACTAATGCTAGGTGTTTATGAGGAGTGTACTGAAAACGATGTGTGTCACATCACAGTATGCTTTAATTATACATAGAAATGTACTGTAGGCTCTGTCAGATGCTCATATTATAATGTACACTCTCAGAAACAAAGGTATCGAACGGTCACTGGGGCAGTACCCCTCTTGTCACTGGGGTGGTACCCTCAAGGGTACATCTCAGTACCTTTAGTCAGGGAGCATAATTGTACCATAATCCATTTAAATTTTATTTTTAAAAGTTGAAAATTTTTTTTAAGTTGTATTGACTCCACACACCCCGTCTCGTCTCCAGGCTTTTTATTTTATTGTTCTGTTTTAAAACGTTAGGTTATGAAATGGTACAAATATGTAATTTTCTCCTGGGAAACATATTTAAGGTATACAATTGGACCTTAAAACCACTGTTGTACCTTTGAGGGAACATATACATTGTTTGTACCTTGATGAACGAAAAATGTACCTGCACAGAACCGTTATTTCTAACAGTGTGTGGCTTCGAGATTGGAATCAAGTGATTTTTGTACCAAGCAGAGGATCGGCAATCTGCCAGTTTATTTCTTTTATATTGGCTGATCTATGTCGCAGATTTATGATGTAAATAACATTCCCCTGTCTCCAAGGATAACTACCTCCTGAGCAAATGACACTGCAAGGATGGGCAGAGAATTGTTTGGGTGAAGAGCAGAGGCCTGCGCTGTGTGCTCTCAACTCATCTGGCATGTGTAGGCTGGCAGTGATGGCTCGCAGTGAGAAGCTAATATTAGGCACATGTAACCTGCAATTTTACAGCTTTGCACTGCTTTGGTTAGTATAGCAACCAAAGCAAAAGCTTGAGTGTGTGTTAGGGATAGGCCAGGCCCATATGGCATGGTCCCCTCTGTGCTCTGCAGTGAAATGTGATTATTCACAGATTACATCTGTGTGAAACGGGACTCTCCTACTCCACCAGAACCGCCCTTTGTGTGCGAGTGTGATTGTGCTTCAGGTTCATGCAGCCTGCTCTGGTTTGTCTCCCTGCTCGGATGACAAGGGACTTTCTGAAACACAAGATGTGTGAAGCTGCACAGTCAATTCATTTAAAGCTGTTTGTCCCAACATCTGTTGGTGTGCACTGAGCTGGCTCAAGAACTTGTGTCTGCTACATTCATGTTTTCTGTCCATGTGTTTTGGGTCGTTCTTCCTTAGGGAGTTTTCCAAGGGAATCTCCAGCTAAGACTGTCCCTTATTGTCCTCTGCTGCAGCTGCTTTGCTCTTTCAGAAGGTCAAGTAATTACAAACTCTCTTCACTTTCATGGTCTCACAAGCAGGCTATGATCCTTACAGTCAGCAAAAATAGTATTTTGCATAGCTGAGACGATTAGACAGTTTTACTTACTAACAAATGCTGTTTTCTATTGTCAACCACCAACAGCTTTTCTTTGCACGTTATACTATTGCTGTGTAATTTAGAGGGTTTAGCTGTGAGAAAGACTTGTAGCTGGTCTCAATCACACTAATGTTATATTTACTTTTCTTATGTTTGTAGGACAAGTTTGATTAAGGATCTTAATGAAATTGCTCATAGCTTCTGACATTGATATGGTAATGTACCTTTAGCTGCACAGCTAAATATGCTAAATATTTTTTTCTTTCTTTAACTGCAAGGCGCTGTGTATAGCTGACCTTAACATGCATCCTGGATGATCTGATCATAAGTGGACAGTGCTAAGTACAGGTGTGAATGTGGTCCAGGGCGTCTCAGAGATTCATAGTGATCTGATCACTTAGGCTACGTTTACACAGCAGGTAAAAGTGGCCCAAATCTGATTTTTTCACCAAATTCGATTTTTTTGTTTGACTGTTCACATTATCTTTTAAATGGGACCTGTAAACTGACCCGCATGCGCAAAAGAACAGTG